CCCCGCTCGGCCGCTCCGCGCCCGGCTTCCGCCCGCTGCGCTCCCGAAACGGCCGCCCTGGCCTCGCCCGACGCAGCTGGACCCAAGCCCCAGCCCCCGAACCCCCGCCGTGGCACCCCGCGCATTCCCCGCCCCGACCCCAGCCCACCCTCCAAACACCCACATTCCCAGGGCGCGCCCTCCTCGCCGCAGCTTCTGTCTCCCTACGACCCCCGGCGGCTCTCCGGGTCTCCGCAGCCCCGGACCCCAGCTCTAAAGTTACTTTGTGAGAAGATAAACCCGCGGGTTATTTCCCTCAATCACCCAAACAAGTTTCCATCCTCACCACCAGCACCACCGCCGCCCCCAGCACACTCGTTCCCTCCCGCAGACAGCCCCCCACGGCCGCCCGCCTCGCGCAAGCCCCTCCTGGGAAAACACCACTCCCCGCACCACACGCCCCCACCTCGCGCACCCCTCCTCCTGCCATCACACCCCCGGCTCTCCCCGGGCGGAGAGTGTCTGTGTGTCTGTGTCTCAGAGAGTGTACGAGTGCGTGCGTGTGTGTGCGCGCGTGTGAAGGCGGAGGTGGGTGAGAAGCGGAGACACTTACTTCTCCCGGGCCTGGCTGTCGGACGGGACGGCGCTGCTGTTACTCTTGCCTTTGCCGTACATGCTTGTGCCGAGAGCAGCTCCCACTGTCACGCACCTGTCAACCCATCACAGCCTCCCCGGGAACAGCCCCGTCCCCATGGCGACCCACGCAGCCACCCCCACTATTGGCCGCCCCACGCCAAAGCTCCACCCCTCTTCGCCCAGGCAACGCGCGAGACTGACAGGCCTCCCCCTCCCTCCGGCCTTCCGAAACGCGGGGTGGCTGCTACAGCCTAAGCGGCAGTCCCCTCCCTACTTCCCTCCCTTGGTGGGTCCCTCCCTCCCTCCTTCCCTCTCCTCTCTCCTCCCTCCTCCCGCTCTTCTTCCCCCCTCCCCCCTCCGAACCCCGGCGCAAGGGGGGAATTAGAAACTGCTCTAGAAGGATTTTAAACAACTGGCTGTTCTCTCCACCGCCTCCCCTCCCCCCGCGCCGCCCGCGCTCGGCTCCTCACTGGAGAGAAGGCGCCGGGAGGAGGGGAAAGTGCGGCCTGGAGTCTCTGGCAGGAGCCCGCGGAGCTGGAGCCGCAGTGGCTCCAGACTTCGGGGCGCCCGCCGAGTACACAGACCGACCCACGGCCCCAGCCGCCCCGGGCACCCCCACCAGCCCCTACTCCAGCTCCTCTCCTGCCTGTGCCCCCGTGCCGGTACCCACGATTGATCTCTGCCTCCCTCAGCTCTACTCCCTAGGGTGGCGTCCCCGCCTAGCTCCCTGAGGGCCGGCTAGCGAGGGACAGCGTGCTGTTCCCTCGACCTTCGAGCTGAGCGACCGAGAGCGACTCTCCTTCCCTCCTGGGGAGGGACTGCGCCTCCGGCCCTCGGCGCCGCTGGGGTGGCGTCGCCCGGCTCCTGGGGCCGCGCCCTGCGCCCCGGGGGAGCGCCTTGCCTCGGGCCTGCCTCGTCTCCAAGGAAAGACTCTGCCTCCCAAAGATGGCCGGGTGACTCCGGGGGGTTCAGTTACGCCCCTACCTCGGCCCCTCCGCGCCTGGAGCCCGAAAATGCACCACGCACCAGCTCCCCTGCCAGATCAGCCGCAGAAGAGGGCCCCCAGGCATGATTTTCCAGCCTTGCACGGTGATGCCAACTCGTCCTGACCCCTGGCGTGGAAGAGGCCTTAAAAGACATCACCGTCCTGTCGTTCGTCATCAGAATAGGGCCCAGCAGCGCCCCAAGGTGCGCAAAGCTGTGCCTTAGGTGAAAGGTTGCCCAGGGATATTTCTGGGTCCAGGTCCCTAATCCCATTTCCGAAAATGCGCAAAAGTTTCTGAAACACACACAACCTGGTTTCAAATAGAACTCCATCCTTTATCTTGCAGAGATCCTTGGCTGTAAAATCAGACAGGGTGCAATGGACTTAGAAGAGATGGGCATCAAAGGGGGAGTGACAGAAGAGGGGTGCAGGTGGGGCAGAACCCATGGGAACATCACGGAAGGATGAATAGAGTGCAACGACTATGGGAGGGGAGAGGAAATAGGATTCAGATGGGAAAGGAACCTTTCAATCCCTCACATACAGTTTTAAGCTTTTAGCAGTAAAAGGATCATAAAAATGTGTATGGAGATACACAGATAGATGGAATGGAAAGAAATGGGCTTGTGTGGGCATTGACAGCAAGTGATACGAATAAAACATCAACAGAAGGTTGAGGAAGGGCAGTTAGCAAAAATGAAAGGTAGGGAATCAGAAAAGGGGTTGACAACCAAACATAAATCAAAGACTGGGAAAATGAAGAGGAAGGACCTGCTCTCCTGGTATTAGGGAAAATGGAAAAAAAAAAATCGAAAAAGTAGGGTGTAAAAGAACGGACAGTAGAAGAAGCAGGATTAAATCAAGAGGCCACAGAATGTGATAATAAAAGAAGATGACAAAAATAATAGAGGACTGACATAAAGAAATAAAAGACAAGAAAAATAAAAGCACTTTTAGTAAAAGGACAAAAAATCAGAAAAAGCAAACAGAAGGAACAAGAATAAGCAAAGTGAAAAAAAATTACTTTGGCTTGAGTAGATTACTTTCCACAAGAACTAATTTGCCATTTCTAACTCTGACATTCTCTTCTGTTTCTAATGACCTACAGTGATTTGGTCGTTGAGATATTGCATTCATGGTCTCTGAAGAACTGGGAGGATGGAGGCTGAGCCAGTAACCTTCTCTCTTTTAATGAAATTTTGCTCAAAACACTCAACTGTGTATGAGGCTGCCGCTGTTTAGACTCTACCTTCAAGGTTTGTTGTTCAATTATCTACTTCCATTGGCTTTAACTCAGAAAACCATTAGCATATTAAGGCTTCCATCATTCATAGAACACTCCCTGTAAGACGCTGTTCTAAAAATGTTGTCCGGGAGAAAACTCTGGTAACTGATGAGCCACCCTCCTGCCCACTCCTGGAATAATGGAAGACTTCCATTGGAAACCAAGAGTGGGCTTTGTATTGTTATCAACAAAAATTGGTTATTATTCTTGTACTGGTGTCAGCATTAGCTATGGTTCTAAGTCGTAGCACATTTGAATTGCCTTAGGAAAATTTGTTTTGTTGTTGTTATTGTTGTTTTTTAAATTTAATGTCTGGACTCTTGCTCCAGACAACAGAATCAGAAACCTTGGAGATGGAACCAGACATCTGTATTTTTTTTTAAGCTTCCAACTATTCTTGTCTATAGCCAAGTCTGCTTACTTTTGTTCCTCAGTATCCATTTAAAGATAGCCAGTGGGCACAATCTTGCTCAGAGTTAAAGCAAGATTTTTAAGTTGTGGCTGTACACAGCGACTTTACCATAATCTGACTACAGCGTTAAGACATTTTTCCTGTAAACTTTGTATTCCACCACGGATCCAACAAGCTTGTTAATAGGATGAAAATGTATGACCACATGTGTTCTTATAGTACAAGACCACAAATAGCTATGGTTTAATCTGCTATTTCCTAAAGAGTGAGGAAAAAGAAGTAAAATAGGAGAGGCTTTTTGCTGTCTACTGCTGTAATTTATTCATTTGATTGGTTTTTACCCAAATTTGGTACACGGAACGTCTTTTGGGTAATGGCATATTTTCTGGTATTTCAAAAATAAATAAATTATAGGCGTGCACAGTGGGGTATGGAATTCAGAACAATTTGGTCTTAGTATCTGGAAAGAATGAAATGCTAAAAGGTCTTAGTTCAGAATTTGCCAAGTTAATGTCAGAGTTACCTTTATAAGAATGTTACCATCCAACAAATATACAAAGTCAAAACGTGACTATTCTTGTATATGGTAACCTTAAGACTTAAGTAATCAAATCAATTATCATTAAAACATCTCCACAGCTACCTGAACCATCTCCCTTTTATTTCCCTCTTAATGTTTACACATGTAAATAAAATGCTTCTTTGCCCTTGTTCAAATTATTTTGAGTACAAAGAGTGTTCTTTGCATCAGCAACTGTATCTCCTGGGGCCAATATTGTAATTAATGAGATTTGAAACACATATTCCGAGCCAAATAAGCGATCCCAGACACAGAATTGAAGATCATTGTTTTATTTGTTTTGGTTTTTAAAGGGGAGAAGAGAGAGAAAATTTCAAGCTTCCTAGTACAAAGAATCACAATATATTTTTGGAGGGTCTTTGTGTGTGTGTTTGTTTTTAACGTCAGTAATGAGGTTGATTCATTTTAGGGGGCTGGACTTTGGGCAGGGGAATGCTGACCAGCTAAGCCACCAGAATGGAGCGTTTGGGGTTGATATTTTTTTAACTTTCTTCTTTCAGATATAGAACACCACAATTACTCAATCATTAGGTCTTTTTTTTCTTTTTCTTTTTCTATTTTGTTTGGGCACGTATGCACAATTTTCTCCTTCTGGAACCTGCATCTTATTCTTGGAAGTCTTTATCATTTTAAAGCAGGCAGTTCTTTATACCACCCTGCTCAAGCTCTAGATTGACTATACATTTCTTTGATCCTCATTTTTTCTCTAAAACGTTAAGGTTAATTATGTCTACATTCTTACAGTGCTGGAGCTTCAGAAAAGCTTTCCCTGTTATATAGAACAAAGAGACTTCCTCTTCATAGTTAAATGGAAGCTAATCAAGAATTTAATTATTTACATCACATAGAACACTTAGCATATTAACTTACAAAAATAACACATTTAGACTAGAAATATTTATTTAGAAAAGTAAAAATAAACTATTTAGACATTACAATGAAATTTTTTTATTTTAGGAAATTTTTTAAAGGACAAAACTGTTCTAGTATTGTGTCATAAAACTAATTAGTTCCTAGAAATAACATCTCTTTAATTGCACTCATATCACTTTTCATTTGAAAACATATAACAGATAATCATTCTTTAATACTCAATATACCTCAGTTAGTTAGATTTTCCCAGCTAGCTTTTCAAAAGTGGTAAACTGAGTCCTAGAAAGATTTGTTAGCATGACCTGATCCCTGAAGCAAATAGAAGTAGTTCCAGGAGGAGAACTCTGTGTTCCTGGCTGATAGTCCTGTTCCCAAACCACGAAGCCGCACCTCTTTCTCTCAGAAGTGACTATTCCACAGAGGAATGTGAGCAAGCTCTGAGATGTTTGTCACTCAAACTACCTTGTAAAACTTCACTCCCAGGCAGAACAGGCCAATATGCTCAGATTCACAAACTGCTAAATGCTGTGTACCAAAGTAATGGAATGAGTAGAATCAGTGCAACTATCCTACTAAGCAACATAGTCACTTACACCAGAATAATAAATGAAATGGGGCCTCAGATTAACATTATTTGACACACCATTGTTGATTTAGCATCAGTTAATCTGAGGCAATGTCTGTTTACTTAACCCATTGCCCTGGATTTTTAAAATCCCAATTTACATATTTATAAACACTTACCAGTGGGTTAGAAGAGAGAGTGTACAGAGCCGACCACTTCCAAAATGTTCCATGTCTAAAGTGCCTAGTCTTTTTCAGCAACCATGAAGAACTTGAAGGTTAGTAACTTGAAATAAAATAATCCTGATACAAAGCATTGTACATAAACTGAAAATGAAGAAAAATGAAAAACCAGGGCAACCATGTGTGGCAATTTCACACATTTTAGCACATTTTGCAAAACAAATTCCAAGTGTTGCAGTGTTCACAGGCTGGATTTTTGTC